GAGGGTAGGAAAACTGTGGCATCAAGCGAAGTAAGCGTTCAGAATGGGGGGTTCATACGCAACTGAAGAACAAGTGGTTTCAAGTTTGAGAAACTTTGGCAGAACATGTTATTCCATGTTATTCCCAATACTGAGAAAGTGAAGGAGAATTCAACTTCCAACCAATATGGTTAATATTAGTTTGACGTTTGCAAACATGTGAGTTGCTGAAGTAACCATACCGTATGACCGGCCATTCCATTCCATCGTCCCATGAGTGGCCGCCCTGTGATGATGGTTGATGTTCATCCCCTTGGTTGGGAAAATCTGTCCTGGTTGGTGGTTGAGCCACCTACCTACCATTGGTTGGTAATATACTGCTATGATGAATGGTTAAGATTAATGGTTATGATGATGGTTAATGATGCTTAATAATCATCTGGTTGGTGGTTGAGCCACCTACCCCTCTGAAAAATATGACTGAAAGTCAGTGATGATGATTATGTTATTCCCAACTGAATGGAAAGTCAAAACAAAATCTTCCAAATTCATGTTCCAAACCACCAACCCATGTTTTCATCATCCCATGGCTTATGCTTCAACTAGGCCTTACATTTTGACCGGTCGCATCCGCTAAACCATCCATTATACCCTCTGGTAATGACTAACAGTTTGCGACATAGAAAATGGCCATAGAAATAGATGATTTACCTATTAAAAATTGTGGATTTTCCATAGGTTTTTGTATGTTTACCAGAGGGTAATTCTTGATCCGTTGAAATTTCTTGGTCAGTGGGAACGCTCGTGAGATCATCATCAAAGATATACCCTCTGGTAAACTAACATAGCTATTGAAAATGGCCATTTATAGTGGAATTATCCATTAAACATGGTGATTTTCCATAGTCATGTTAGTTTGCCAGAGGGTAATTATCAAATCAAAAACATGCTAGTTTAGGGGATGGTTCCCCCAAGCGCCCCAACCAATTTTCCGAATTTTCCCAAGTAATCGATCGTGAATCCAATTCTTGACATATCATATCCCAGGGTTTAAGCGGATGTTTAATGTATCATACTCAGTCATGAAAAACATTCGAAACTAAATCATCCTGTCAAAATAAGTTGATATGACATGATATATATATATATAGATAGATAGATAGATCGATTGCCCTGATAAACAGGAAACCTATATAAAATCATCCTGTTAAAGTGACATATTTCAACGGAAACCGTCCATGATATTTTTGATCTCTTACCCTCCAGCAAAGATAGCTATGGGAAATGGATGGAAATGGCCCATAAAGGTTCGATGATTTACCTATTAAAATGATGAGTTCCACAGCTATGTTAGCTTACCAAAAGGTAAGTCTTCCGAAACCTTCAATAAATATGTCAGTCTTCTGTTTTATCCACATTCATATCCAATTAATCTCTTCATTTATAGCTATCTTATGGGAATTTCATAGGTATCTTCATGAATGCAACCGGACTTTCCCCGCCTGAACTGGAACAAGGCGTCCATGCGCATCGACGACCATCTGTCCTGGCACCAGGGCAAGGCGAACGGAAGAATGCAGGATTTTCCTATGGAAAATGGGGTTTATTATAGGTTCAATAGGGAGTTTATCGATTTATATGGTTTATGATGGCTGGTTGGTGGTCTTAACCATTTTGAACAATATTAGTCAATGTGAAGGATTATCCCATATATTATGGAAAAGAAAAACATGTTTGAAACCACCAGCCAGATGGTTTAATAGGGATAGTCATGGGACAGTAATGAGCTACTCATGGGGTGATTGTAGCTGTTACCCTCCCGGTCATTGAACAGGCTGCTATGGAAACCCGCCATTTTTCATAGGTAAGTCATCCATCAGTGGGCCATATTCCAAAGCTATGTTAGTTTACTGGAGGGTACCTGGAATTTTTTCACAGCTTGCGAACTGGTACCATCTATGGAATTTGTTATCCACATCTGTTCCGAAAAAGTGAGCCATAAGTTGGGTATACCGCAACTGGCAACTGGTACAGAAGGCCCATGGAGTTCGATGTTTTTTCGCATGAAAAACATGGTGATTCCCCGTGTCGTTGGGTCATGGATTCGGAGTTGAAAAGAAGACCACTTGGGCAACACATGGGCAAAACACAACAGAAAATGCCTGCAAAACTAAGAATCAGTTGTTGCTTGGTGTCATCTGATCATTTGGGATTAAAGGGCCTCACATAGTTGTCCCCTGAGGAATTTCGCCAGCAAGGTCGGACCCTGGGCACTTTTTATGCTGAACCAGGGGTGGGGTTGGGGACAGATATAGGACCAACTAGAGAGCAGATCAAGCCACCGCAGATAGATGTCAAGATAAACAAGTAGATTTGTGTATGTCCACACATATCGGAATGTACAAGCGAGTAAATTGCAGAACATACAGGCGAGTGCTCGCCGGGCTGAGGCCCCAAAAGCGCAGCCTGCAACCGATCTCCAGATCAAGGTAAGCCATAGCATGACACCACGTGGCCACATGATTTTTGATTGGGCCTAAGTGACCAGTTCGTTCGTGCTGTTCTGAGGGTACATGGTTGATCACTTTAGGTATGTAATCCCATCCTACTAATCTGAAACACCCCTTTGATCCCCTTTCTATAGTCTCAAATATGGGTAAACCCCCTACTAAACCATGGTTTCTGGAGGTTTTTTTTTTTAGGCGGATGTGATTCTATCCCTCTCAAATGGCAAGAAACTCTACTGTTTTACCTGCGTTCAACCAAGTTCTACCCAGGATTGCGAGTGATCTGCGTCCATCTCCGGATTTTTTTGGGATGAAACATGGAAGACTCGGCAGCTGCCGGGTTCGGCCTGAGCATTCAGAAACTGACACGGAGCAGCTATTGATCGGGATCCCCACCCCAATAACCCCTCAACAAATGCATGTCATCAAACATCCCAACAACAAAAATAAAGAGCCTATGGAACATCACCACGTGTCGGTTTTTTTTGGGATGTTCGCTAGATCGAGCCACCAGTCCGATCGCCAGATCGCGACCTACAGGAGATCGCGTCAAAAAAAACAAGATCAAGTTGGAGATCATCGGAATTCAATCTATGTAATATAATATATATATATATATTATATTATATATATATATATTATTATATAATATTTATATGCGGATTGGATGTCTCTATCACTGTATCTATGTTTTGACTGTTTGATCATCCAACGGGCTCAGAACGGCAGCACGGCCATGGTGTCTTTTTCCCAGGACGCGGTTGCGCGCGCACGCCCCAACCCCAGCGGTGGATGCCCAGTGGTGACCGTCCCAGTTGTCTCAAGGAAGTGCCCCTTGCAGTTGTCTTAAACCCAACTATGGTTACATATCCAGTAAGATGATACCATGATACCCTGCTAATAGACTATATTTTTGATATGTTAAGCTGGCTAGTACATATTCCCATTTACATACAAAAGAATGTGGAAATCATAAGGCATAATCCCATCCCTCGTTCATAAATCCCCCACTAAACCATGGGATTGAACTATCCATCTATTTAGTTTAATCTTAGTAGAGCCATGTTATAAACCACACATTTTTTGATGGTTTATACCACCCATAAAGATGGAAACATTGTGGATGGTGGATTCTGTTGTTTTACTAGCAATACTCATGATTTTTGTCATCTGTCAATGGGACATAACGGGTATATAATGGATTGATAAGATATATGGGCTGTATATGGGATATATCATTGCTTTACAATCAACCAGTTTACCCCACTCGGTTCCCACCAGCAGCACTCGTATCACTGGGGCTTCGGCCGGGCGGCATCCCTTGATGCTTCCAAAGCGTCCGACAGGTGGCAAGGTCAGCAAGATATTGCAACTGAGTTGGTTAAGAACGGATTTTCCTGTTCACGTATTGTGATAATCCCTAATAGTTCGTGTAATCCCCTGCGATTACCGACCAAAATTTAACACTTCTCAACTAGAAAAATGAGGCGAGAACCAAGGAACACGAGATGTGCATCACCGAGAGAATGTTTTTTTTTAGGACAATGTCAATACATCAAGAAATACCTGGATACTGACAACAAAAAGGGCGACAGAGGGAAGGTACTTGACAGAGTCACGAACAAGCTTGGTGGTCCTACGAAAAAGATGGAATGCAAAACAGCCAACTCCAATTGCGGGTCATATCGCCGACCACCGGGGATTTACCCATCCGGACCCTGGTAAAAACCCCAAATAAAACAAAAAATAGATATCCGAAGGAAGTTTAGAAGTCAAACTTCCGACAATATGGACAAATGGAAAAGCAGAGGCGGGAAAAGTCAGAGAGGAGAAGAGAAGAAGAAAGAAGATCAGAAAAGAGAAAGAGGCAGAAGACAGAAGATGCAGGTGCTGAAAAGGTAGCAAAGCCGCGGAACACTGAGCGGCGGGTGCGGAGCCATCTGGCCAGATGAGAGATGAAAAGTTGCACGCCATTGTGGCGCGAAGCACATTTCGAAGTCAAAATGCACAAAACAAGCCAGGTTCGGAGCACTTTTGGAAGTTGCGATGTCGAAAAAGCGTACACCATTGTGGCGCGAAGCACATTTCCAAGTCAAAAGTGCAAAAAAACTGCCGGGTACGGATCACTTTTGGACGTTCAGATGTCCTTTCGCGTGGCACGCGCAAGGCATTGTGCACCTTGTCACAAGCGAGCAAAACTTGAGGGCTTTGCAGCAGTTTCAACCAGACTACACTACACCCCACTACACTACATTACACTACAACTACAACTACAACTACAAGTACAACTACAACTACAACTACAACTACAACTACATTGCACTACACTACACTAATTACATTACACTACACTAATTATTTACATCACACTACACTACACTACACTACATTACACACTACAATAGCACTACAGTAACACTACACTACGCTACACTACACTACACTGCAACTACACTACACCAACTACAACTACAACTACAACTGCAACTACAACTACATTACAGTACACAACACTACACTAATTACACTACACTACAACTACAGCTACAACTACAACTACGCTACTTTACACTACACTGCACTACACTACCCTACATTCCATTACACTACACTCATTACACCACCACAAATGCAACTGCAACTACACTACACTAATTACACTACACCACAACTACAACTCCACTACAACTACAACTACAACTACAACTACAGCTGCACTACACCACACTACATTCAACCATTGTAACCACTCCAAAAAACACAACTCCAACCACCTTTCAGTCCATCAGTGGATTCGCTCTGCCACCCGTGATTCACAACAACAAAGCTCTCCTTTTTCGGTGTCCTATTCTGAAACTTCCGAAAAAGCCGCCCAAGGTTTTCGGCACTTCTGGTAGGAAGTTCATCTACCCAATGTTTGGGTTTTTGGACGTATGAATCATAGCCATGTACGAAAACAGACTCTGTCCAAATCTCTTCAACGGTTGATCCACACGGAATTTCCATGAAAATCTCTTGGGTCTAAAAAAAAATAGGTAAAAAATGATGAGAAAACACCATGGATCATTGAAGGCTACCTCTTTTTTATTGGGGATTTACCACGGCATCTTACGGCCTGAAATTCAGGATTTGGAGGTCTCCAATTTTCAGACGAAACCATGGATTGAGCTGTCAGCAATCGAAGCAACGAGGACACAGCCCAGCCATCTACGGTGAGCATTGTCTGACTTGGCTGCAGCAGTGGCTAAGATGATTTTTGGAAGTTCAGGTTGAGGAAGTTCAGGTTGAGCCCCGAAAACTATGAATTCTATGAATGTGTGGATCATCATCCCATTTCTATGTTTGAACATATGGCAGTGTGTCAAAACCATGTAGCCCTGGTGAACATCAAAATAGGTGGCAAATGGATGTTCATCCCCTAATAAACTGTATCTATAGGTATTGATCCATAGCCATTTGAAAATGGTCCGAAGATCTGACACCAACCGGAAACAAATCAGCCGGGGAGCTAGGGCCCTTATCCGCGGGACCGAAGAATCTCTGCCACCACTGCACGCGACACGTCTGTACCACGCGACAAGACTGATCTCTCGGAAGCGGCAAACATCGGCAAACCATGTTCCGATGTTTAGACGAAAATCCCAAGTTTTCCTATGTGGCTTAAATCAGGCTGCCCAGGAAAAGATTCCGCGCATTGTTTTCCCAAGTTTGTGGCCTAAACTTCCCATGTGTTTCACCTTTTTTTGTGGATTCGCCCCCCAGAATGTCCACGTTGACGGAAGCTGCTGTTCTCAAAGCTTGACGAATACGAAGCTTACTCTTCCTAGAGGCTAGCAGCGGCTAGCATACTTCTGTCCCCATTCTCACTGTGTCCATTGTGTCCATGTTTGTAACAACACCAACTATGATGAATACATATGAATACCAGGATGCATCTAGTGGTACTACTAAGAATCACAGAAAATATGCATCCCTCCATAGGGGAAAGCGAATTCTAGGAAAATAGTAGGCAGCTATTTGCAATCTGGTAAACCCAGCAAGAAACCCCAATCGTTTGAGGATGATATAGCCCTGAAATGGGAGAATCTCCTATGGTTTATTAGTGAGTGTACCACTGATAGAGACACTTTTTAGCGTGTGCTTGCCAATCCAAAAAATCTCCAAAAACTGGGACACTTTTTGGAAATTCTAAGGTCGATGTCATCGATAACATGCTGGAAAAGCTGTTCTATGTTTTAAGGGAACCCCGTAGGGAACCCCAACATACAGATTCAGCCAGCCGGCATGGCAGTTGCAGCCTCGGCCGCAAGAAATGCTTGCTGTTCTTGGATTGGTGTTGCTGGGAAATGATCCTCCGTTGGTGGTTTTCCCTTCCAACCGATTCTGGGAGAAGTTTGATTTTTGTTGCCTGGAACTGGTTGGTCATCGATGGTGTTTTAGATTAGGTTGAAGTTCAAGCAACAAGCCATGCAGTTCACCAAGAAAACGAGAGCTGATCAGCAATACAAATCGTCAGTGGCCAGATGGAGGAACAGAAAATGTGAACCGTGAACCATGTTCATTAGTTGGAATAGCATGGAATACTTGGTGGCTCATCCCACTTAGTAAGTGGGTTATAACCCCAGATATAAGTGGATTAACCCTACTTATCCCATTTATAATTGGGGTTATAACCCACTTACTAAGTGGGATGAGCCACCAAGTAGCCATGAATTATACCCCATGTGTGTGGCTAAATTCCAATCTCTTTTGGCCACAACCGAATTAAATCCCCATTAAATCCTCATTAAATCCCCATTGAATCCCCATTAAATCCCCATTAAAAACCAGTAAACCTGACAGAACTGAAGACGCCACACACTCTCAGTCTTGGTGACTCCAATCCATCAATGGACGCTTCCCTCATCTTGTTGGGCCTTAAATCACGATACTTTTGGCATCTTTTGCCTCCAAAACAACAAGCACTAAAGCTGATGCACTGAAGAATTCTCCTTGGTCTTGGTCTTGCCGAAGA